ATATGCTTCGGGTGTTCGGGTGCATGTGTATGGCGCTCGTGCCTAATCATCTTCGGCATAACAAGCTTGGTGCCAAGGCGGTGTGGGCCGTGCACTTGGGCATGGCTCAAAAGAGCAAGGGGTGGCTTCTATGGGACCCATTCAACAAGAAGTTCATGGTGAGCAGGGACTGCAAGTTCATGGAGAACTTCATGTATAAGGATTGAAAGGCGGAGAATGAGGCGAAGATAGGCGTGCAGTTTGGGGAGGTGAAGAGTTCCGGTTTGGAGCATGTGGAGCTGCCTTTGGAGCTGAGCAGCGGCAGCACCACCACAAGGCAATCTTCCCTTGTGAATGGGGGAGAGGAGGCCAGGGATGCAGAGGAAGAAGAGGAGGAGGTGCAGCGAGTGAGCGAGCGTGCACCGTCACTCCCTTCCCGCACTACGAGTGCTCCACGGAACCGAGCCACACCGCAACAACGCCAAGGCCTTCAAGTCCCTGCAGCCGAGGAGGAAGGAAGGGGCAAGAGGAGAGTACAACCCCCTAATAGGCTGACCTATGATGCACCGGGAAAGCAGGGCAAGTCAGCCCTGGCCGGAGCGGCAATGATGGTCGGAGACGACGAGGAGAGTGACTACGAGGAAAGTGCGTTCGTGTTCTTCTCTCCGGTGGAGATGCCGGGAGAACCACCAACTCTCAAGGAGGCCTTGGAGAGTAGTGATGCTGAGGAGTGGAAGAAGGCAATGGAGAGTGAGTTGAAAAGCATTGAGGAGAATGAGACATTTGAATTGGTGGAGCTACCGGAGGGACGTAAGGCGATAACGTCCAAGTGGCTCTTCAAGATCAAGTCGGACGCTGACGGCAAGATCGAGTGCTACAAGTCTAGGCTTGTAGCCAAGGGGTACCAGCAGAAGGAGAAGATGGAATTCAAGGAGCTGTTTGCCCCTGTGGTGAAGCCGACGACGCTGCGAACCCTATACGCGGGAGCCGCCATCAAAGGATGGGTGGTGAAGCAGATGGACATCGTAACGGCATTCCTTAACGGCATCCTTGAGGAGGAGATTTTCATGGAGCAGCCAGAGGGGTTTGATGATGGCAGTGGCAGAGTGTGGAAGCTGAAGAAGGCCCTCTATGGGCTGAAGCAGGCCCCTGGGCAATGGTACATGAAGCTGCGCGAAGTGTTGGAGGAGATCGGCTTCACTCCCTCAACGGCCGATCACTCCTTGTTCATGCTTGGGGAGGGGGAGCAGAGGAGCTTCATCGTGGTCTACGTGGACGACATCCTGATCTTCTCACCCTCCTCTGACCTTGTGAAGGAGGTGATGCTGAAGGTGCAAGACAAGTTCAAGTGCAAGTCCCTTGGTGACGTGAACTTCTACCTTGGGCTCCACATCGAATGCGACGTGGAGAAGCGGTGCATGCGGGTGCACCAACAGAAGTACCTGGAGGCATTAGCTGCCAAATTTGGGCAGAATGAAGGCCATATGGCTACACCCTTTTCCTCTGGGTTCAAGCGTGTGAAGGGACCAGAGGAGGAGAGTGTTGGTGTAGAGGAGAGGCGCCGTTTTCACTCGTTGGTGGGCAGCCTCATGTATGTGGCGGTGAACACTCGGCTGGACGTTGCCTTTGCTACCGGGCAGCTGGCTAGGGTTGTGCACTGCCCTAATGAGGAGCAGGTAGTATCTGGAATGAGATTGGCTAAGTATCTTGGCCAAACACCGACCGTTGGGCTGCAATACTCGGCGGCGGCGCAAAGGCGCCAAAAGGGCGCGGATGGAGTTGAGCCCGGGCGTTTGTTCCTCACCGCCTACTCGGATGCTTCATATGCATCGGAACCAGAGGACATGACAAGTGTTGGAGGGTTCATTTGCTGTGTTGGTGGAGGCCCAACTGCTTGGGAAAGCAAGAAGCAGGTGGACCTAGCATTAAGCTCGGTGGAGTCCGAGTACATGGCACGCTTCTGTGCCGTACGGGAGATTGTGTGGCAGCGGCGTTTGTTGGCTGAATCGGGGGAGGAGCAGCAAGGACCTACCCCACTCTACTGTGACAGCCAGGGTGCCATCGCTCTTGCTAAGAACCCTGTGTTGCATGGCCTCACGAAGCACGTGAGGGTGAAGTGGCACTGGACAAGGAGCATGGTGGCCGCAGGTGAAGTTGAATTGCGCTACGTGAAGACGACGGGGCAGCCAGCTGACATGATGACCAAAAGGCTGGTGGAGCAGCAGCATTGGAAGTGTTGCAAGCTAACTGGGATGGCTCTGATCTAAGAGAGCAAGATTCTTGTTATGTGATGCAATCATATGCATTCACGTCTGTCTGCCTCCCATCATGTGTTCGTGCGTTGCATGTGTGAAATGAGCGTGCGCAAGAATTTGTGTTATTCTGTGGTTTGGATTTTCTGAGTGTGTGTGAATGTTATTTGGCTTGAGCAGATATCTGAAGTGACTCCACTGCTCAAGATCTTTCCGACGAGCCAAGAATCGTCGCGATAGGAGCAATATCAAGAAAGTTACGAACGTTGGAGTTCGTATGCTTTCTGTACTTCGGTTGTGGCGACTATGGGAAGTTGTGGGGTTGACTCAATATGGGGTACAGACTTTTGGGGGTTGGGAATTCGAACCCATCACTGTAGAATGCTGCCATGTGGTTGGGTGAAGCCAAACCAGGTTGGCAAGTGTGGCCAAGTGGGTTGAGGTGGATGGCATGAGTTGGGAAAGTGACAAATGTGAAAGTGGGGTTGCCTATGGGGAAGGGAATTGTGTGGCATGGGGTTTCCTTGGTTGGGGAATCTCTTGGGACCTTCCCTCTCGTCCTCCTCTTCCCTCCTACCTGGTTTAGTGCTACCCTAACTCTCTTGTGTGTAACTTTGTGGAACTTGTGAGAACCATTGTGATTGAGTTAAGCATGTGGCAGCATACCCCCTAGTGCGCCGAAAATCATAACTCGAGATTTACTCCACCATTTGATACGATTCAAATTGGGAAAGATAGCCCTGGTTACAGGCTACAACATACTCGAGTTTGAGACAATTCCAACTGTGCAAGTTTAGCCGACGACGTTTCTTGTGAACTCGACGATTCTGTCCAGAATTTCAAGCCAACGATTTTGAGAAATTTAGGCTCCTAATCTTCATTGACTCCGTCCTTAGTCTCTAACAATTCTAAGGCCAACGATCCAAGGGGGAGTTTGTTGGTGCAACCCTACGGTTTGCACTCGGCTTGTTGTCCGTGCGCGTGCATGGGTGTGTGCATGGAATGGAATGAGTGCATGAAATAAATATATATTTCATGCTTATAATAGTGTGTGAATGATGGTTCATGATGTCGAGTGTGTGTGTCAAGTCAATAGCGAATTATCGCTAGTCGCGTGTAACGTGGTCATTTTGTGTGTCCCGTGCGGTTTCTACTTTGTCGTGCGCGGTTTTTATTTTGTCGCTTGTCGAACGTTCGGCGTGTCGCAGGTGTGTGCAGCAGACCCATCAAGAACTCAAGGATGAGTTTGTGATGAAGAAACCGAGCCCTGGTGTCAACTTTCAAGTGATTGCGAAGCTCGCCAAAAGGGTACACCTCAAGAAATTGAAGATAGTTACATTACTTTGTGTAGTGTAACATTTCACTTGGTGTAGGCCCTAGTGAAGGGTAGTTTCGAGACCCTTCGTGGTTGGGGACAGTGTGGCACTGCTCCACATCATTGTACCTCCGCTCTTGGGGTTTGTAGGAGTTGGGAGTCATTCCCAACTCGTAAACTCTTCCTAACTCATTCTAGTGTTCTAAGACTATAGTGGCTGCCATAGTGCCGTTTGTTCGAACCGACGCTGTGTCGTCAATACTTGGTTAAATCATGCGATCTAAAATGCCTATTGTAGGCGACATTAAGACGCTCCAGCTTCAAGTTGAATCAGGTCATTTGAATTTGCGACCAGAACGCTATGAACGATTAAAGCCGCTGTGGAGAAATCCGACTGTGCACTCTATCTTTCGTTTTTAGGCACATTGAAGCCTACTGTGCCTATAACAGCTGCTGGCGGGGGAAGCGGTGCGCAAGGCAGCCATGGTGACGGCGGGGAGGAGCTTCACTCATGACATTCAGACGGAGAAGTGGCGAGAAGATCGACTGGTGACGCACGGGCTGTACAGGTGAGAGTTGGCGGCGTGGACGGGGGCGCAGGTGGGGCTGGTGATGCTGGTGGTGGTGGGTGAGGCGGTGCACAAGGCAGCAATGGTGACGGTGGGGAGGATTTTCACACATGATAGTCAGACGGAGAAGCCGCGCGAGCACCGATTGGCCACTCATGGGCTGTACAGGTGGGCGCTGATTGGATGATGGTCATGCAGTTATGGGCTGTACAGGAGGGAGTTGTCTGGGTGGAAGGTGTTGGGTTGGGTGCTTGTGTGTGCTCTTATGGTGCACCTGATAACAGCGATGGTGACAAGAGGGAGGAACTTTATCCATGACATTCAGGCTGCTCACACCTGGGTTGTATAGGTGGGCGTAGGTCGGGCGATCGTGTGATTGGTCGGAAGGAAGGGGTATGTGTGCTGATGTGGTGTGGTCCTCCTAGACGCACAAGAAGTGCAACCACTGTCACGAGCAGTGCAGGTGGCAGCTGTCTGGGCGTTAATGCAGTGAAGGAGTGTGACTCAGGCCTGACACCTCTTGGAAGGCAGCAGAGTGAACTATTGGGAGGAAAAAGACTTGATCATGCCTGGGTGTTGAGATGCCTATTTGCACGGGCGTGTCACTGTGGCTCCTCTGCCTGCATCGCCAGCACTGCATGCATGTGTGACCATCCCATGCCCTACCCGTGTTCCCCACGGTCCCATGGCAGGTGGGTGTGGCATCCGGGCTACACGGGGTGGTTCATGTGGAGCATAGCGACGCGGCTGCTGCTCGTCAACCCCCTCTGCACGCTCGCCTTTGCCCTCGTCTCCTGGCGCTTCTTCGCTGCGAGCATCCCATGAGTTTGTCCTCTTGCTTGAGTATGAATCCTGTGAGTTACTCTGTGGGCTCGGAGTCATCCCATGAATCACCCTGTGGACGTGAGTTACCCTGTGGGCTCAGACGGACTAGGGCAGGACCTGCGGTGCCGTGGGTTGCCCTCATCTCCTGGCGCTTCGTTGTCAATCCATTGAAATCTGACGATGCATTGACGCTGGAAGAGTTGCAATGCTGGAGGCTCGTCCAGAGTCCAGACCAGACACACTGTGACTCTCCATGCCCCTATTCCACATCCCCCAAACCCCGTCCCCATACCGTTGTTTCAAGTGCCCCTCATTCCCTTGCCCCCAATTCCCTTTTCCCCGTCGCCTTCACCTCTCCACCACCATTTCCCAATCCCTCTGCTACTGCGCCCCTCTCACCAGCAATCCTCCTTCCACTGCCCCATTCACCATTCCCATCCCATCCTTCTCTTCTACCATTCCTTTCATCTCCCCGACCGCCCCCCTCCCCCTCCTGCCCCCTTCTCTCCCCCCCTCCTCCTCGCAAACCCCCTCCACAGCTACAAGGAGTTATATCTGCACCAGTTCTTGGGCTTCGAATACGTATAATTCGCCGCCTCTGTCGTCTGCCATTCTCTTTGTCTCATCTGCTCCCACACCCACCCATTCCCCACTTCTCCCCTCCCCCCCTTCCTTCCCCCAGCTACGAGGAGTTTTACCTCCACCAGTTCTTCGGACTTGAGTATGGTCGATATGCCATCCAATTTTCCCTTCAACTCATCATGCTATTTCCTCTGCTCCCGTGACCCTAACCCCCCCTCTTTCTCCCCACATCCCAGCTACGAGGAGTTCTACCTGCACCAGATCTTTGGCCTCGAGTACGCACGATACGCCGCCTCGGTGATGTCGGGCATCCCCTTTGTCTCGTGACGCCGGGCCTCCGCTCCCATTCCTTTCCTTGGAAGCAAGTAGCAGCACGGCACAGCACGGCATGAACGTTCCATGTTGAAAAGACCCTCAACAGCAGGGCAGAGCTTATTCAACCTGAGGCTCTGCAGAAGGGAATACATGCAGGTCCTTGCTAGTGCTTGGGATGCACCGACTGTGCTCCAGCCATGAGCAGCAAGCAGCAGCGTACCAGTTTGGAGCCGATGACAGCTATCTGATTCCGCTTGAGTCTTTTGTCTGAAGTAGCCGAGTTGTCAGTAACGTTATGACCAATACAGAACTATGTTTAACTACAGGGCTGGCTGACAAAAGTTATATTTAGCAAGCATTTTTTTCCATTTGCGTGTGTGTTAGGGCCTTGAATTCACTTTTAGGGATGTTGATGCATCAGGGTCCCTATTTGAAAAGGGCTGAAAATCAGTATTCTTAAAACAAAAAGTCTGAATTTCCAGGGTTTCAGAAAAAAGAGCCTGATTTTCACCCACATGATATCTTGGATACAGAGCTTACCAAGGATACAGTATCAGCCGTGATCGAAATGCAAAGCGCGGGAAAGCTTCAAACGGTTACCGAACCGCGTACGGTTATCGAACCGCACGGTTGCAAACCCGCACGATCGTGAGGCGCGCTGCAAGTCCAACATATGCTCCTCTTCAGGCCGCTTGGCATACTGAGCGAGTTGGCTCGAAATGTAAGACAAGTCAAGCCCGCATATCACTGCAGCGAAGAGGAGACGGCCGAGTTGCTGCTGGTAGAGCTGATTGATGTCCGGAGTGGTTGAGTGGGATTGTGTTGGGGTTGTTGGGGATGGCGGGAGAGCGATAAGGGGTGGAGATGTTTGCAGGTTCGATGTTGAACTTTGCGGAGAAGGAATCAGCGTACTTGGCGGCGGAAAGGTGAATGGCGTCAGCAGCGTAAGAGATGTTGAGGCCCAAGAATTGAGTGACCTGATCGGTGCTGGTGATTTCGACGCGGTTGCTGAGGTTTTTCTCAAACTGCGCGATGAGTTCGTTGCTGGTGCCGGTGTAGAGAAAATCATCCACGTACGCCGTTAGTAGGATGTAATATCCGCGGTAGTGAAGGTGGTACATGCCAGGATCGTGGGGCAGCTAGATGAAGCCACTATCGAGGAGGATTTGATGGAGATGCTGCCGCAAGAGGCGTGGTGCCTGATTGATGCAGTACAGCGTTTTCTTGAGCTGACACATGCGGTCGTTGCCGTCGCCGTAGGTGTGAGGCTGCTCAACGAAGATGAGAGCATCGACTGGCGCATAGAGGAAGGCATTTTTCACATCGATTTGACGAAGTGGGAGATGCTTCGCGGCGGAGATGGCGAGGAGGATGCGGACGGAGGTTTGGCGGCTGACGGGTGCGAAGGTTTCATCAAAATCAACACCGTGACGTTGATCAAAGCCCCGCATGACCCAGCAAGCTTTAAAGCGTTCGATGGTGCCGGCAGCGGCAGTATTGACGTGGAAGACCCATTTGCCGGAAAGGACACGTCTCCCCTTCAGCGCGGCGTGGTGAGCGAGGACCCTATGTCGCGGGCTTCGAGAGCAGCGACTTCGGCATCCATAGCGTCGCACCATTCTGTGGCATAGGGACCTGTGAGGGCTTGGCGTAGGGTTTTGGGTTCAATCGCCTTTGGTGGACGGGAGACAGCCTTGTGAAGGCCAAGGATTGAAGTCCTGAGAGGCCGGGGTTATGCCACTGATCCCTGGTGACTTCCACCACATCGTCGTCAGAGTTGTGGCCGCTGGAAGGAGCGGGGCTGAGGAGGGAGTCACGCGAGGAATCGAGTGGAGGCGCTATCCTCGTCGTCGTCTTTGTCGCCCCATGGGCGAGGGCCAGGATGGGGATTCGTTGGATCCCGACCCGCGAGCGCTGCCTCTACTTCGTCTTCGGGGGTAGCGAAGCTGCGTGGTGGGCGCTCGTAATCCGTGATGTTGTGTTCTCCCCAGGTGCGGTGAGCGTGGCGGTCGCACTGGAACTTGCGGATGGTGAGATTTTTGTAGAATATGACGTCATAACAACGACCGTTCGCGAGGTGTCGTGGTCGAGGATGTTCCAGGCGTGGTGTTCGAAGCTAATGCTGAGATGCACGCCCGAGCAGGCACGGCGTTCGAACTTCCCCGTGGTTGCCGCTACTGGCCGATACTGCACCATGCATCCCCAGATGTAGAGCATGGAAATGTCACCCTTGTCGCCGGTGAACTTGAGGTGAGGGGAGAGGTTATCAATGTTGGCGGTGGTGCTGTGCAGGTAGTGGAGACGGACAGCGTGATGCATGGCGTAACGCCTGTACTTCACGACAATGTCGCTCTACTGCAGGAGGGCGTGAACTTTGGTCATGAGTGTGCGGTTGGTGCGTTCCGCGACGCCTTGCTGGGGATGTGCGTAAGGGAGGGAGAGCTTGTAGGTTATTCCCTTCTCTTGCAGGTATGCCGCCAGCTTGTCGCTCTTGAACTCTACTGCGCAGTCGGTTTGCCAAAAATTGAGGGTGCACCTTGACTGGGTCTCTGCGTTGGTGTGCCGGACTTTGAAGATGTCATACGCCTTGCTCCTGTAAGAGACATTGGCCACCCAGGCGAAGCAGGAATGGGCGCTGACAAGGGTGAGGGTGTATTCCTCACTGCTGATGCCGGTCTGGGTGAGGACGAGAAAGTCGCTGTAAACTTCCTGGAGTTTCTCGGAGCGGTTCGTTCTAGGCTCGAGGAGCTTGAAGGGCTGGTGAGTCGGTGCAGCTTCATGGCAGATAGTGCAGTTGGTGCGACGATTGGTGTTGACGGGGACACGGGTTTCGTCAGGGCGGAGAAGCGTTCCAGGAAGGAATACCTGAGCGTGGATGCAGTTGTTGAGAACTTCCTGGGAGGGGTGACCAAGGCGTTTGTGCCAAAGGTCAGGGGGAGTGCGAATGGCAGGTGAGCGCGCATAAAGGCTAGCAGTTCGGCAGTGTTGGTGGGAGGTAGCTGAGGGATTAGCTGTGGCGAGATGTAGAGGCCGAGCCAGAATGAGATCACGAGCAGTGAGCGGGAGAGTTGGTTCGGCTGTGGTGATTGCAGCGAGTGGTGTTGGGAGATTGTCTGTGTCTGCCGTGCCTTCAGAGAGGACAGTACGAGGGACGTGATGTGGGGGTGGACCATGAATGGGAGAGTGGGAGGATCACTTGGTCCAATGTGCGTGGATTCAGTGGGAAGAGGATTGTGAGGGTAACGGCTGTACGGAAGGATAGTCTCGCGGTCAGTGGGAGGCGTGGAGGGGGGTGGACCCCAAGAGTCACTGGATGGTGAGAGGTTCGAGGGAGGAATGCGGGGGAAGCTTCGTGGAATTCCTGCCAGGATTCTCATTGATAGCGTGTCAGAAGACTAAGCGAGAATGAATGCACTGAACAGAAATGTGGTACAAGTACTAACCCTAATTGGGTTGTACCCTATATGGGCTACCCCACTACAGCCAACACAAAACACACAACATAACAATTTGACACACCCCCATTAGGCAAACACCCCCATAGGCAAAGTGGGGGAGAACAAGGGGTTACAAGACCAGTCAAGAAAAACAAAGCAAGCTCAGGGTGGATTACGAAGTCACCACACATTCTGAGCACAAGCAAGCGGCCACAAGGCCAGTTCACATGCAGAATTTTATAAATGAGAACAAGCAGTACAGTGATCACAACCTAGCAAGTGGAAGCATGCAGGTATATATATATATATATATACATATATATATATATATATCACAGTACAAGCAAAGTCACCAAGTGAGCAAGTGAGACACAGCAGGCAGAAGGCCAAGTGAGGCACAGAAACGCTGATAATCACCAGACTGAAGTGCCTTGGTGAATATATCAGCAGTGTTGGCCCGAGTGGCCACGTAAGCAAGATGAAGCTGACCACGCTGCTGCAATTCTCGGACAAGGAAGTAACGCAGAGCGATGTGCTTCATCGTGTGCTCCAGTCTGTGCTCATGACACGAGGCAATCATGGCCTTGTTGTCTACGTACAGAACTGGAGGAAAACGAGGCGCCTCTCCCAAGTCGGTCAGCAGGTAGGTGAGCCAGCGTAACTCCTGTGCAGCCACGGCCTCTGGTAGATCTTAGCCTCACAACTGGAACTAATAACAGAGGACGAGCGGGTAGACCGCCAAGAAACATAACTGGAGCCAAGGCTGAAGGTGTAACCCTCTGATGACCGCTGCGTAGCCAAGTCGTCAACCCAAGAAGCGTCTGCGTGTCCAGTGAGGACAACTGGACCCTGTCCTCCAAGCACAAGCCCCATGCCCGATGTACTGCACAAGTAACGCAACACCCTCTTAGCGGCCTCCCAGTGCTCTGGTTGATGTCTCCCGAGTGCAACGTAGTATGTCCGGATGCTAAGAGGGTACGCAAGGTTAGGTCGAGTGCAGGTCATCAGGTGCATGAGGCAGCCCACAAGCTCTGGATACGGGCCACTCGGCTCTATGGACTCGTCCGAAGGTGGAGCTGAGAGCGAGTGACCGGTAGGCAGAGGAGTGGACTGTGGCAAGGAGAACAGGAAGCCGAAGCGCTGAAGGACCTGGTGCACCATGTGTGACTGAGTCAGGGTGATGGTGCGCCGTAATCTGAGTAATCTGCAAGCCAAGATAGCTGCGCAGCTCAACCAGGTATGTGCATGTGTGTCTCTTCTGCAGCTCCGACTACACAAGGTCCAGTGCCTCAGTGTCAGCAGTGGCAAAAACCAAGTCGTCGACGTACATGTGGATGTAGAACAGCGGCAGGGAAGTGTCGGTGCGCTGAAACAGCGACGGGTCAGCAGTTGAAGGAGCAAACCCAAGAGCCGCAAGTGTAGTCCTCAGTGTGTCGTGCCACTCACGAGGCGCCTGGCGGAGACCGTAGACTAGCCGCCGGAGGCTCCACTGGGTACCAGCAGGAAACGACCCAGTGAAGCCAGGTGGGTAGCGCAGCCAGATCTCCTCGTGTAGGCTGCCCTGTAAGAAAGCTG